ACAGTGGGTGACTGGCACAGGCGTGTTGTGGATATATGGGGACATATTCATCTTCAGCGGGGAGGGAGGAGTAGGTGCGATTTTAAGATTACGAAAGTACGAAAATTACAAAAGTAATATAAATGCGCTGTATAACAACTGCTACAGCAGCAGGTCAGTGATGTTTATTAAATAGATAGTAAGGCTCTGGTTCATTGTGAATTACAGTTATTTCTTGTATATAAACAACGGGTACATTCACATAGTGTATGAATGTTATATCTGGGAAGCTTTATGGTAACTCTGAAGACTTATACAACAATCCCAAGTACAGATAGAGAATGAGGGGGCTGTCAAGAGCCCTTTTAGGTTGTGTGTGTGTGAATGGGTGGATGACTGAATGTAGTGTAGAGCGCTTTGGGGTCCATAGGGTCTAAGTAAAGCGCTATACAAATACAGGTCATTTACCATTTACCATTTACAAAAACACAAAAAGGTTTATGACTTTGTTGATCAAAATGTTGTTTAAATCAACTAATTTTAGTTCAACTAAACATTTTAAATTATTCAAAATTTTAAAAAGTCTTACACATCCTCCTATATTGCAGTTTGAACTTATAGCAGGGGGGTCAAACATAAGGCTTGGGGCTCAGAATCAGCCCGGCAAAGGCACCAACCTGGCCCACTGAATTAATAAAATGTGAACTATATTCACATTCTATAATAAATTGTATGGCTTTTCCGAACGATTAAAAACCTCCCACCGTGGTCTTTCATACTAGACCAAAGTAATTAACTAAGAGATAAACAGTTGAAGTTTGTGTTTTATACACGACAGTCTTGCCAACGCGCTGCCAGAACTTCCTCTCTAATTTTAGACATTTATTTCTTACAATTTAAGTCTAAAGAGTCATGCTGAACGATTTCTTTCATTTGCAGTGGCAGAGACGTATCATTGAAATTGCACTTCTTTGCCTTATACGAAGATATCTGAGGGAGTTAAACATCTTTGCACTGAAAGACAGGGGATTTTCACTGGACTGGCCCACTTAAAATCAAAGTGACCCACAATGTAAAATGAGTTTGACATCACTAACATGTGTACAACAGCATGTGTGTGTTTTATATATGTGTGGGTTTAATCCTATATAACCGTTTTTATTACACATTTTAATAATAGGACTGCCTACATTTTAATCAAGCATCATTATGCACTGAAAACATTATGTTTTAAACAAGTTTAACTCTGTTTTAATTTGCACATATCACAACTTGCATATTAGTATCAGTGCATACTTGAAAGAACAACTCAGATACAACCCCTATTTAGGGTTTATACTACTTTAAATACGCAAGAGGCCTTCTCGATGTCGCCTACAAGGCAAAGTCGTCTTGAATTTTGCCCAAGACTCCTACTGGAATTCTGATCAAGTGATAATGGCTATTCTTAGTCAAAAACTGATACAGTAGGGTAAACTACGTGCAGCTTACAGCATACATTTTGGTCTTCACTCATCAGCCAATGTATATGGCAAAGATGTGAGGACCATGCGCAGCTGCATCTAATTAATAGTGTGAAAGTTTTTGCCTAATAGCACCTAAGCTGTGTTTATACCATTCCCATTACCCACTCTGCAAGTGAGGAAAGTACGTAGTCCCCTCACTCCGAGGTGTCTGTACGCAGGGCTTCCACTTTAGAAAGAGGATACCCCACTCAAGCTGTTTGCCAGTTCCTGCATTTTGATAGCCACCACTTTTAGACTGCAGTCATCTGAAGTTGATGTTCCTGTTTTTGCTGATAGGTAATGAAGCATGCAGCAAGACTTGAAACTGGATGCCTCAAATCCAGAGGGCAGGGTTCTTTGGAATTACCTCTGCATGTCCCATCCCACACCTACCTCGGATTATCATTTCACTTCTTGATCAAGCCTTTCCCTTTTTTAGCAGGCAGTGTCGTCCAAAATCCAGGCTGAGGTGGGGGGTGGGTGGG